TTCCAGTGTGACTGAGAACATACAGTACATCCTTCGCTGAACAGGCTAGCTGGGAAAATCCCTTAAACCCCAGCTCCAGGGCCACTGCATGCCGGCTGACCCTGAGCTGTGATCCCAAGCTTGATCTCAACTGCATTAGTCTGTGTGTGTCATGGAGAGCAAGATGAAATAGATAAAAAGAGAATTTTCCCCACGGGAAATCAATAAAGTATCACTATGCTATGCTATTCCCTATTCTAAATTGCAACATGTGAAAGATGAACTGATAATGGCAGGCTTTTGAAATGATTCTTTCAGACCTGTGTACACACAATGGACTTTTAATAATTAAATATTGATCACATGAAGGAGCCTTCTACAAACCCGAGGGCTTCGCACTTCACGGATCTGGCTGTTGCTGCCGTACTTTGAGGTAGAGATCACATGGTGTTGTCACACTCCTTCACGGCCGACCCAGTAAAGCGTTCGCTGTTTCCTCACGACTGTGTGGAAGCTTGAAAACATCACAGCAGGATGAATTAGAAGAAATACATGAAAATGTGCTACTGTTCCCTTTAAGCAGGCATGGTGTCACATCACTGCCAGTCAGAGAACCTTCTGACTGAGCAGCTCAAGGCCGCCGGTGCTGAACAGAGGACCTCAGTGATCAGCAGATAGAGCTGCCGTCACCCTCCAGCTGTCATAAAGCATATGCAGAGCATCTGGAAGCTGAGAGAACTACCCCACAGCAGCATGTCAGACCCTCACATGATCCTTCTCTGCTCCCCAGCTTCGGTTCCCAGTCCCGTATGGTGATTCTCCTTAGTATTCCCCTCCCTCACAGTGGGGTCTGAAAGCTTTGTTTTTCCCCCATGTCAGCTCCTCCTGGTCTTTGCCTATTCTCAAGCTGGATGCCCCGTAAGTTCTGCACTTATTGCTTCAGTCACAGGATTTCCATTCTCCACCAGCCACCTGTGGAGAATCCTAAAAAGGAGGGCGCTTGCTGAGACGCACGGAGGGATCTGGAGGCCCTGATCACCCTTCATCTTGACTCAGCAGCCTGACTTTTGGTCTCTGAGGGAGTTTGAGGTTGAGCTTCCCTTTGAACTCTGGCCTGTTTTATGCAGCACCAGCCCACAGTGTGACTCCTGAGCTCCAACAAGGCAGATCCAGCTGCCCAGGCAAATTCACGTTTGCCGACAGGAGAGGGACCTCGGGTTATATTGCGATGCGTCCATTTTCTGACATTTGGTTTGTACTGCATGGCTATAAGATTTACGCTGGGAGCCACTAACACAGAAGTCCCATCCAGTAGGGAGGATTAACCACTGATAACCTGAAGGAGATCTTTGTCAAGCTGTTTATCATGAATAACCTTCAGGTCTTCTGCACAGCATAACACCAAGGGGTATATGTACTGGTCTTGGACTATGTAGCGATTATCAGGGCTTAAGTGCCCCTACAGCAAAGAACCAGCATCCCCTCCATATGATTCTGGCCCTTATCAAGCAAGTCCTTGGCCTCTGGCCATTATGAGTTTCTTGTCATGCATTTTGAGCTGGACGATGCAGTCGAAATCTTCCAGGTTAAAAATGTCCTTTTCAGTCACTGAGTTATTGCTGTTTACTGGAGCAAAATCCTGGAATACTGCCCCCCCCACAAGACCACCAATGTCCAACATGTTCTCACAGTACTCAGGCTTTTGGGGAGACCAGGAAAGTCTGTGTAGAGAGAGACCAGCAACAACGGCCAGATTCTTTTTCTTAGTACAATTTGCTCACTGTGTGCAGGGAATATGTTCTCGGCCAGGAAGAGAAAGGTTTCTTACAGCACAAATGTAAATTATAGATAAACTATTTTAGTCAACTGGCTGTTCAATTTAATAAGGTGTCACAATCCAGTGAGGTGAAGCCGGGCTGGACTCTGCCATATTTCCATGGTCTCTCTGGGTTTATTTCACTAGGTCCACTTCAGCCGAATTGATGCTTTTTTGTTCTATAGCTATCTGTCCATTGATCTATCCATCAACAGATCACCCATCCATCCATCCATCCATAAGGGTCACAGTCAGTCAAGAGCCTTTCCCAGGAAGCACATGCCTAGCGAGCTCTCCAGCTAATCCCCTGGGATAAACCTACAGCAACCTCTCTCTGATTTACATGCCTCTTTGTTTGCCGAGTCTCTAAGTGTCCATGCCACCTCAGAAGTGCTAGTGTTTCCTGGTTTAAAGGATTTATGAAGACCTTGGGGTTTAGATAAGTTATTTTCCATCCAAATTCCTGAGCCGGTTGCACAATAAGAGAAAAGCCAGATAAGGGGATCATTTCAAACCCCCCAAATGATTTGCAGGCGCTAAACCTGGACTACAGGTACTATCCTGACAGTGGTGATTTACATAGTGGCCTTAAACAGGATTACATTGCTACAGGTGGCTGTGTTTTCCGTGCCAGTTTCTAATGACATCTCTCATGATCAGATGCACCTTTTTATTCTTCTTTAATCTTGATTGGAACCTGCTAAACCGGCTGTTACCGGTTATGCATCGTAACCTCTTTTGATGTTGATTCAACACAAAGAAATTTCCTCTGGTCAAGCTCATTATTTGAAGCTGGTCAATCCAAAAGGCATCTAGGAAGACGCTGTGCTGAGAGTCTATTTAAGCGAACACTAATCGAACAGCGTTTCAGCTCCCCTGGGAATTGCCATCTCAGGAGTAACACTGTTTCATTTTGCTTCAAATGAAATTAAATGATTTTTAGACAAACTCTGCCCCATACCCGCTGAGTTTATTAATCTTTCGCACAATGGATTTATCATTTTTTTCGCCCTGTATTCATAGTAGGTACTTTTAATTCCATTAAATAGATTTCATTCCAGTGTGATGTAACTATCTGTGCGAATCGCAGGAGGACATTAACCAGCCTGACTGCAGCCCGACACGTGAATCACCGAGGACTGATATGTCTGCCGCAGTCTCGTCTGCCTGCCATCTTTTCCACTTATCTCAGAAAATCATTGGCTTCCAGCCTCTCAGACCTGGAAATCTACTCGTTCTGACTCGCAATCTGTGACCATCACAGTTAAATGTCTCTACAATAAATCATTAATAAGAGCCTCCAAATCTGCTCGCCCACTTTATTTGTGAAACAAACTTCACAGGGATATGTGGTGTCAAGAGACTAAGGGAGGATGTTTTAAATAAGTACAGTAAAAATATTCAGTTACTAGTACTAATTTGATTAGTCACTGACAATAACAAGAAATGCTACTAATTTAGCATGTTCTTAATATTTATGGCCTTTAAAGTAGCTGGGTTTTAAACATCACGATAGAAATAACATGGAAAGTCAATCCTGCAGTTACGCTTTCAAGGGTCTGGAGGCTGTAACGAATAATTCATCATTTCATTTCCACTCGCGTCCCATCAACCACCCAGCATTGAACTTTATGATTCAAAGACAGGTGCATATGAGCTACATGTATTTGTCTCCATGAACTATGTTCTGTGAGATCTTAAGAGAACTCAGCACGCACAGTAGATCCTTCAAGCAAGATCCATTTACTCTCCGTAATGACACATATCCAATTTTGCTTCTGTTGAATATAAAAAATCAGGCAATCGGTCTCCAGAAGGCAACAAAAACTTCTTTAGTTAAAGTACAAACAGTACTTAGCCCCTGGATAAAAGCAGAGGCAGTGACTCCATATTTCTGTACGGGAAATCCTGCATACAGGCCCAATACACCAAGTGATGCCTCAGCTCTTCAGTCTTACTATGTACTGTGCGTGCATACATTTTAATTATAATACCTATTAATTATTAAACATCACAGAAATAAATTCTGACGACTCCCTCTTTCCGTCTGCATTTACGCCTCCATATTATCACTGGGCAGAAAGCGAAATGGCGAAGATGCTCTTATGTAGAGCTATTTATCAGAAGCCTTTCAGAAATACTACTTCACTTCGATGATGAGGACAGTCAACCCCCCAAAAAAAAGGCTTTTAAAACAGATTTAAAGTGTAAAAAGCAGCAAAGAGGATCGTTAATAGGTTGCATGACATAGCGTCAGATGAGAAAGGAAACTTGTGACATCAGGACGACTTTTCAAGTATCCATAACAGGGGACACAAATGTCTTTGGATGCCTTGAAACGAAGACATCCTTCCTCTCTTACAGAGCACTAACCATCTAAGAAATCTCATCTAGTCACCATCTATTGTTTGACTTCTCTTTGAAAGCTGTGTTTTGTGTGTTTTGTGTGTCCCTGTAAATTTTTGTGAAGAAATGCATTCCTAAGGAACTAATCCAAGTAACTGTTCCACCTAACCACACAAATTCATCATCAGATCTATGTTCCACTTAGAAACACAAATTCAACACCTGATCTATGTTCCACTTAGAAACACAAATTCAACACCTGATCTATGTTCCACCTAACCATACAAATTCATCATCAGATCTATGATCCACTTAGAAACACAAATTAAACACCTGATCTATGTTCCACCTGACCTCACAAATTTATCATCAGATCTATGATCCACTTAGAAACACAAATTCATCATCAGATCTATGTTCCACTTAGAAACACAAATTAAACACCTGATCTATGTTCCACCTGACCTCACAAATTCATCATCAGATCTATGTTCCACTTAGAAATACAAATTAAACACCTGATCTATGTTCCACCTAACCTCACAAATTCATCATCAGATCTATGCTCCACATAACCACACAAATTCAACACCTGATCTATGTTCAACACAGGACCATTTATTCTCTGTTTCTGTCCACTCTGTTGATTACTCTGTCATAAAAACACCATTATCATGCTTTGTGGATAATGAATAGCAGGTTTCGCCTTCAGTTTTCTCCTGTGCCCTTTAAATGGGGAATTAGTCAATGAATGACAAATTACTTACGATACAGATGTTTCTGTTTGCTCTCCTTTGATGGAGAAATTTAATTGCCATTGTAACAAAAAGGTAAAACAATGACAGAAATCCAGAGTAGTCACACATGTCCAGGAACCAGACAGTGGCTCTGTACACTTCAGAATTAAAACCTCACAGGTAGTCTGCATTATATGCAGAAAACACAGTCGCATTTAAAAATAAATACATAAATAATTAGTAGTTGCACATTTTAACATACAGTTTGGCAATGGGGTTGAGTTTCAAGGTATAAAAAAAATGTAGCTTGGACATCATGGATACAAGTGAAACATTGACGAGAAGGGGCTGTTTGGCTCATCACCCGTCAAAGTGAGTGTGGGATTGACAAGGTCACTCGCTGACCTTTGACCCCACACCCTGTCATCACGGTAACACTTGGTTGACCCAATCAAACAATCCCTCACGCGTTCCACACACACACACATCGACATCCCCACAATCATAGATATTTATATTTTATTTATTTAGTAAACAAACATTTTTTTTGAAGGGGGGGTTTAGGGTCAGTCAGTCCCAGGAGCAGTTGGGGGCCCATGAGGGCTTTGCTTAGGGCCCCAACGATGACATCACTCTGCTGGCCTTCCAGTTGCGAACACAGTGTTCTAACATGCTGAGCCACACAGCGCGCCCCAGAGACCAGAGCAGCTTGAACCTTGAGCACCTCCTTGCTTCACATGGAAAGGAGGGACCTCTTCTTCCAACATTTCTCCTCTTTTTGCCCCAGAAGGAATGTGTCACATGTTGGACCCCGTCGCCGTCACTGCGTCCATCCTCTCACTCGGCAGCTGTCTGACTTGTCGTATGGTGGAAGTCACGCTCATTTAAGCACATTTTCCCTCAGCGGTTGTGATTTTTCCCCCCTCTGTCCTGAAACACTGATTGTCACTGACGTCTTTGCCTGTAGCAGCTGCACAAGTGTCCGTTTTAATCCTTTTGCCAATAGTTCTTCAACTTTTATTCTTTGTTTTGTTTGTTTGTGTGGTACACGGGAACGATTCCAAGTTTACAAAACTGGGTTGAGGTCAGAAGACAGGATGCTGGACCAGGCAAAAGAATGAACGGCCATGCAAAAGGTAGGAGGGGTAAGTCGTCAGAAAAATGTTCACCATGCAGAAATTCACAACCGTAGTCCTCATTGGGCCAGGGAGGTCTGTTTTGGATGAATAAAAATGCCTTCTTCCAATACACAGGGTTCTGTTCACAATGTGTAAAATTTTAAAAATTAATTTTTTAAATCAAAATGACCAATTAATCACTTGCAAATGACATGAATCCAGGTCCAATTCCCGAGGAGGTTACTCTTTGTTTTAGTGATATGGTGGCATGGGCAGGTCATTCCGCGCAATACCTGCATGGACAGGTAATTTCCGCGCATTTCCTGCATGGACAGCTCATTTCCGCGCATTAACTGCTGGGCCGTTTCCTCAGCCATTGGAAGAACTGCTGCCGGTAGTGGCAGTGCCACCTCACGTTGGCCTCCACGATCTCCACGGCACGGGCTAAGGCTGAGCTGGCCTCTCCCTCGTTGTCCTGGATGAATTCCTTCAGCTATACATGGGGGTTGGGTGGGGGGCGGGAGGGAACACATGAGAGTGTGCACTCATATCGTGGAGCATATCCACCACGTAGATCTAGGTATTAGTCCACTCATTTGTCCGCGACCGACACTCATGGTGACTTCTAAGGCCGGTGAAGTTCATCTTGCTGAAATACACTCACCTCAGAAAGTTCCGACTCTGTGTTTAGAAACTCTGTAACGCCGCTGATTAATTTCGAGTTCATAAAGAGCGCTTCACCATATCTGTGTAAAGAAAAACATACTTATACATGACAAGTAATTCAGAATACTGCTGCCAGAATATTAACAAGAACCAAGAAAACAGATGATATCACACCAATCCGTATGACCTCCACTGCCTACCTGTGAGTTTTAGAACAGATTTCAGGATTCTTTTACTTATTTATTTTTTTAGATACTTTACTGATCCCCGTGGGGAAATTGTTTTTATGCCTCCCTCAACTTGCTATTGGTAGAGTAAGTTGTCCATGAAGGGCAGCCACCTATTGGGGCGCCCAGGGAGCTGGGGGTTAAGGGTCTTGCTCAAGGACCTGCAGATGTGCTGTGGGCACCACCTTTGTACGTTACCGACCTTCTGACCTTTTATACTCCCACTAGAACTCTGCGATCTACCAGTCCTATTTTGAAGGTGAAACACAAATATGGTGGTGAGATAGCTTGCAGCTTTTATGCTCCAAAACTGTGGAAGACACTGGCAGAAGCCCTTAGAGAAGCTGCTGCTATTGTCACGATGCAGCGGAGGAAGGACGACCCAAACGCAGACTGGGAGCAAGTACAACCCCTCACTGGGGAGTTTACTGGGGTGAACAGGCTAGGCAGCACACATGGACAGGGAGCAATGACCAGACAGGGAGCACAGGACTAGCAGTCAGTTTTATACATGACTAACACAAGGCAGCTGTGGCTGGTTAACAAGAGGGCAGGAACAAGAGGTAAGACTAAGGAGCTTCAGGCGCGGCTGATTATCAGCCACAGCTGAGGGAAACGCAGGGAGCAGACAAGCAGGGCGGGGCTGGGCGTGACAGCTATATCCATAAAGTACAGTATTCATTATTTCCATTTTTTACTTGCTTATATTTTTATAACTTTAATCTCTTATTCTTATTTATATTTTATTGTATTTTATTTGTTTGTTCGTATATTTAGCTGTATTTTGATTATTTATTTTACTTACATTTATTTCATCCTACTGTAGTTTCATTGACTTGTACTGTAGTGAGCTGTCTTTGGTTTTATTTTAGTCTCATATGTGAATCACTGCGAACCGCATTCCATGTATGAAAAGTGCTATATAAATAAATATTATTATTATTATTCTAACTGAAAGCTGATTATAAGATGATTTCGGCCTTTATATCATTGCTCTTAAAAGCGGGGTTAGTCTATTGTGTGAATTACAACAGTCAAGATTAAGAGTGTTGATCATTAACTTTCCCGTTGCTTTATAGATATTTCTTTTTACATTAATTGCAAAACATTTTGCTATCATTTCAGTCAATTCCAGACTCATCGAAGCGATGCCGATAGATTGCATGAAAGTCACCCAGGCGGTAAATTCTTCTGATTAATTTGTTTGAACATCTGCCTTTCAGTATTCATGGAAGTTTGCTGCCAGCGGTGGGAAACGGTGGGAAGATTAATGACTCATGTGTATAACGGAGAAAAGTCGTACCTGGCGTTCAAAATCTCCCACTTCTCCCTGAAGTACCTCCAGGCTAAAGGCCTTCCGTGGGGATTCCGGCCCACGTGTATGATGATATCTATCACGTCTTGATCAGGAACAAGATCCGTGCCCAGCGAGAGATTCAGGAGCCTGAGAGCAGTGGGGGAAAAGCCTTATTAAAGCTAATTTGTCAAATTATAGAGATATTGCTCATTACTTACAGATTATGGCTGTTGATTTCATATTCAGAAGGAAATTAATTCTGATGCAGTTTCAAGAGGAAACACGTTACTGAATTATAGTTTTTAAGATGCCCATATTTATCATGTATATTTGCACCGACATTATTTAATTACTGTTGCAGAATGCGATGTACGACCTTATTACAAGTTGAAAAATCTGCCAAAATTCCTCCTGTGGTGATTTTTACTCAAGAAACAATTGCAATATTCATGATTTTATAGACTTTATTTGAGAAAGGCTTAGGTGTGGAATAATATAAAAGAATGAATAACTTAAATTTCTTAACTGCTTAAATAGTTGCAGGATCATTGTGATCTTGGAGTTCATCGCAGAAGGCATAGGAGACAATGTAACACACACACACACACACACATGCACGCACCCACGCATGCATAAACACACACACACGCATGCATGCACTCACACACATGCATGGACCCACGCATGCGCGCGCACACACACACACACACACACGCACTACAGATAGTTTGTTTCAGGGGCCTTGGAGTAGGTGCAGATCGCTAAGGTTAGGGTCAAAGCCATAAACTGTCTTAGCGTGTCACACCTGAACATTCCCCCCCGCCACCACAAAGGTGATCAAATGGCAATGGTACAAGTCAGTGGTGCTGAGAACCTTTGGCTGAGGAACCTGCAACTCCTGGTCTCCTGAGTGACCGAGAAGAGGAGCATCCTGGGACCTCCCAGACAGCGTAACAGGGACCTTCTGGCTGGAAGAGCCCCAGGATGAGATAATGGCTGTTACTCTGCTACTGTATCTACTGAAGTGTTCTTCCAAAGCCTTCAACTGAGACCTTCAACTGACCTTCATCTGTATCCCGCTGACCTGAGATCAGGTGACCTGTAAGAATCTCAAACTGCTCCTAAGGGATTCTGCACTAAAGCTTAACCCAAAGTTCAATGTTTCTTTTTCCCCCACTCGTAATTATTAAAATTAATTAATGTAGGACATCTGTATGCTCACTCATCATCCTGTTGAGCTGAGAATAGAAACAGCGCATACTTTTAATTCTTGAAATATGCCACATCTACCTCAGACTGTAAATTTTCTACTTAAAATTATATAAGAAATTAAATAAGTGCTTCTTTCCTGTGTCAATCAACTGAGTCTTTTTCCGAGAGCTGAATTAATGAATGATGTAAAATCAGTTCAATGCATTTTCATCTTAAAAAGGAGGGACAGATAGTATTCAGATGACTGACCTTTGTAAGTGGTTCAACTTTTTTTCCATAATTAAATGAACAATTTAAATGTAAGAATTACTGTGAAAACAGAATTATTTTTCATTCTAATCCAATCAATGATTTTAAAGCAAGTTATTCCAATGAATAAAATGCGTACAAAATGCCTCAAAGAGTGTACATACAACCCTGTGTTAAGAACATCTGTAAGAATTTACTGACAACTCATACTTATGAAAGGATTCCCATGAAGCGTAATATGTTAAAAATTTGAGTTAAATACCGTAGTTCGTAATAACAAACACATACTACTTTGTGACGCTCGAGGTACAGTACAGCACAGTACAGTAAATACATACTATATAATAAGACTAATATAATTTGACTAACTGACCCTAAATAAAAACCGGATGTTCCTGTTTCTGTTTCAAAGTATATTTCTTTAATTGCTCATAGATTAGCAGCCTCAGTAGTAAAACAAATTGGTAAACTAAAAAAAAAAAAAAACTTAAAATTCTAGAACAGAATGAAATCCAGCACAGAAAACAAAATGTATTCCAAATTCATATATTGTGGCATCTACATCACTGCCTCATTGATTGCTTTGTAAGTCAATGTTCAGAAATATCTACTGCAAACGCCACAGGATTCCTTAGCCCGGACTCAATGGGCCGGCATTCAGTTAAAGCCCAGCTTTGCGACCTGCTGCCGGACTCACCGGTTCAGCAGGAAGGTGTTGTCACTGCAGGTGAGAGCCTCCAGAAGCACCTTCTTCTCCGAGATGGCAGTGGTGGAGTGGAATTTCATCCAGATGAACTCCCAGACGTCCTCGTCCATCAGTGACACTCCGGTGCAGTAGACAATGTCCCTCACGTTGGGTGGGATTCTATAGGAACAAACATTGTATGCTGTATTTTACAAAAAATTCAGTGCAAACAATGTTCAAAGAATCAGAGCATGTTCTAAATAGGAAATAAAGCATTTACATTCAGCTGTTACTTTCCCAAGTTTGACCTGAGCAGAGAAAAACTGACAGAAGAGGCCATTACAGGCCAGACCTCCCGGAGATTGGTTTCTTCCCACTTAGCAAACAACAGGGACCTCTAATGAAATAATTAAAATGCTTTTAAGCCATTGATTGTCCAGGCTGCTTTTCCTGCAGTCACAGGACATTCTCACCCACCCCTCCCCCGTTCTCCCTTTTAATCATTGGAATGTTCCGTCAAGGGCATCGTCGATTTCTGTAATGCGAGTATCGCAGGTACGGCCATGTCTCGGGCGGTACATCAATACTGCCTGCTCCTTGAAGTGACAATTTACAACACTTACAAATGGATGATATGGCCTGACACTGAGATCAGGGGAAGAAATCATGGATAACTTTCCGGGGAAAAGTTTCACAGAGGACCAGTAGGCTGAAACCAGTAGGCCTGTGGCTCAGTGGGTTCACACAGTGGACTCCAGACAGTAATCAGAAGGTTGCCAGCTCAAATCCCAGAGTCAACAGGCTGATTCCACCACTGCACCCCTAAGCGGGACCCAAACCTCCCGATTACTCCAGGGACTATATAAACCTTAAAATACATTTTTTGGGCAGAACTCCTCAACTTGTCTTCTCATTCTCCCATCTTGGTGACGTCACCAAGACATTTAATCATAAAAAAGCAATCAGCATTCACAGTGTTGTGATGCAACTGACATCACATTGTCTCTAATTAGGATGCAGGAACATGGCTTTGGCATTTAGTGAATTTGTCAGATGCAGTATTGCTACATTTCTGGACATTCCTAATCTACAGGACGAGGCATGAAATTCCAGTTGTCCTACAAAAACCAATAGGCGCCATGGGACAGAATCCACCCGCACAGAGCATCACAGGCCGATGTAGGGAGTGGCATCCGTTTAGGCACAGCAGTGCCAGGTGACACAAGCGTTTGCCAAAATGTGGGTCTTGACGCAAATGATGTATGATCACTCCGAACTGATTAAGAACCAATCAAGAGATGGCAAACCTGCTCTTTCTCATTCTCCATACCAATTTCATTTCAGAAATGTTCCCAAGCTGAAGAACATCAGCGTATCAAACAAACGGCCAACAGTGAAGATAGGATTGCACAGACCAATAAATAAAGACGTCGTCCTTGTTCTGTTTACGTCAAACCCCCCCCCCCCCCCCCCCCCCCACCAGAGAAGCTCATCACAAACTCGGAGCTGGACTGATGCAGAAAGATGGAGAGCAGCCCCAGTGATCATTAGGCGTTGATGTACGAAACATCAAACGGCTTCTCTGCCTGACAATCACAGAACCCTCTGAGCTGCGCTAATTGATTTGCTGGGTGTCTGAGATCAAATGTGTTGCATTTGGTACACTTACTCTCTGAGTGTGAAGAATGCGTTTCCTCTACATTACAGATTGCGGGCTGATTTGTACTTCCTCCCTCTGCAGGGCACGCTTGGTATTACCATATCATGCGGCGCTAATATTAATAAGAAGGTAACACATCACATTGGGGTAGAACTGACCCCGTTTTGCCCCGATATCTGCCTCGGCTGCACCGAGGACCGCAGTTACGTGTTCTTCCTGTTCTCACGATACTCGCTAGAGGCCTGCGTTGGGGGGAAAGAGTGGGAGCAGACCAAGTGGCTGTTAGCATGATGACAGGAGGGTGCTGGATCAAGCCCAGAGGGGGGAAGAGATGTCAAGCCCTTGGGAAGAGTACTTGGCCTGTAGCAGATTACAGCAAGCTGCTGAAATGGGTTTTTAAAAAAGCATCAGTCATATAAGGGTAAAAGCGGCGCTGTGTGGCTCTGCAGGTTAGTACACGGTGCCTCTGATAGGACGGTCGCCAGCTCCAATCCCGGCAGAGTGATGTCACCGTCGGGCTCCCGAGCAAGACCCTTAACCCTAGTTACTCCAGAGACTGGCTGATCCTGCTCTCTGATCCACACAACAGCATCTGCTAAACAAATGAATGTGAAGCAGGAATGCAAATGCTAAAGACTTCACAGAAATGCATTTTGAAAGCCAAGACTTCCGTTGAGCTGGTTTGCAAACGAAGAGAATAAAGAAGGCGCCATCTTGCAGCTAAATAAGCGCTAAGATGCTAGATGAGACTAATTACCGTCGAGGGGTCCAGCACGGCCCCAGACGGCCAGGCCCCCTGCCCTCCCGTACCTGTTCTTGTTGCTTGATATCCAGTCGGAGATGAGCGACACAGCCTGCCGGTGACAATGCTTGTTCCCAAAACTGCAGGCCAGCATGATGACCTCCCTCTGCAACTCCCTGGGGACACAGGAGAGAGACGCGGTGATGACCGGCGGCTCCGTCCCCATGCTCGGATGGGGCGAGGGGTCAAAGGTCAGAGGCCTTACTGGGTCTGGTAAGCGCCGTGCATGATGGAGCTGTTGGAGAAGCTGGTGGGCCATCCCAGCCGGTGGTACACAGAGGCCACCTGCTTCAGCACATAGTCCTGTTGGGTAGTAAAACATAACAGACTGACTGAAGGCCATGAAGCGAATCCGCAAAACAGGCGTGTTTAGGTGTTAATGCACCTAAACACTGACGCTCGGGTGTTAAGGTTAAATTCGCAAATGGAAATCAAAGTATCCTGCACAAACTCTTTTAAAAATGTAATTAAGCATAATAAGTGTATAAATGAAGTACTAAAATGTATTTATTCCTGCTGGGTGCTGTAGTTCATAATGAATCATCAAGTATCACTCCGCTACAGCAGTAAGTGGAATTACAAGCCAGCCTGGTCATCAAACTGAAACGCCGCACGGCCGGTATGTGGATGGGGGTGTTTCAGTTACGAGAATTTCCAAGATGCAAAAGCAAAAGTGGAAAAAGGCCTCTGGGTGTCTGTTTAATCTGCAACATGCAGTCCAATCCAGCACTTTTTTATTCCAGGGGACAGTAAATCTGCATACATATATTAACTTAGATTAATTTAGCAGACAGTTTTGTTCAAAGCGATGTACGAGTGAGGCAAATATATCACGAGCAAACTGCTGTCAAGGAGTGTTTAGCTAGGCTGAGCTTTCAAAGAGTGACCAGGAACAGGTGCAAGACAGTTAAGGGAACGGAAACCAGCAATATCAGGAAGGCTGGTCAAGTAAATGACATCAAGGGAATGTAGGAAAAGTTTGGAATCACTTAAATTAGCAGAAATCTCTCTCCAAATTTTGATGCTCTCTAAATACTGTCTTGTACTCATATCCATGATGTGGCGTAATAGGGCATTATGTGAAATCCGACGTTGGTAGCTTATAGAACAGCAGGCCAACAGAACCTGCCCTAGTAAACATGGAGAAAGCTATCAGGTCGGTCCCCATTCCCAGGGCTCAACCTACGCTAAAGACGCTGTACTCGTCGGTGCGGTCCAGCAGCTTGTCCAGCTGGTAGAGGCAGCGGCTGGCCGCGTGCCAGGGCAGGAACTCCCTCTCCTGGGGCAGGTAGCAGATGATCTCCATGGGGATGTTCTGGGGGAGATACCCAGCCCTGAGTGGGGGAGGAGACGGGGGGTTGACAGGCATCAAAGTGGCTTTTTTCACGGGTCCCCGGATACGATAAGGGACCTGAGCAGACGCTGAGGTTTGCTGCAGCTGCTACTAAAGCATCCATGAACTGCTTAGACACATATCGCACAGGCAGAGATATCAAAGCGCCTTTAATTAGCAGCTAAGTAGTGGCCAAAGTCACCCCTAACAGGAAGCGGGTGCACCGCTAAACAGCTGCTGCATAACCGCTCCAAGCTGTCAGACTGTAAGGATCACACAGGATGTTAATACCCTACATACTATTAATGTGCATATGTTTGTTTTTCTTTTAAAGGTGTATTAAACCAGAGAGAAAACCGCTTTATTATGTTTTATATATGGTATTCCAACAACTGACCCAAATTAGCCTGCAATGGCCTTGACCCTTTGGTGGTCTCGGGGGCAGCGATTTACATCTTAACGCCCCCTGACGGTATCCTAGTAAACGGAAACATCTGGAAGGGCAGACCGTTCCTCTGAATACGGTGTTCCCAGTCTGGCTCCTGTTTCCAAACTTTCTCTAAAAACCATGCCTGCTGCTGAAAAATAATTTGTTTTTATTCCATATCTTCATTCAAAATCTGGACTAAACACTGTTTTGATTCCACAGGAGGGTCAGATGCTGATTTTTGTTCCGGGACTTTCATGCTCTGCTCAGAGGTACACATACAGGCCTGTCTTTCTCCATCTTCAGTGTTTACTAAATGACGCTGCTTTGATCTTTTTATTTATTAATGGATAAAGAGTGTTTTTCTGTTCCCCGGTGCTCACCGGCGCACCCCGTCTGTCAGGGCAGAGTGTGACGTCACTTAACATCCACAAACCCGCATCATATTAGCATAAATAAAACACGGCCCTCCCCCTCGAAGGGGCCCATCAGCTCAATCTGGCTACACTCACTTTCTTAAAGTGGTGTCAAAGGCCTCAGCTTCCGGGAGGGGGGGGGGGCATTTGAAGGTGCCACACAATCTAACATTTAATTTTGCAGCTCAGCTAGTACAGGGTGTTTCTTCCAGACTGCCACCAGCTCCAGGTCTGACCTTTCCTGTACAATTATAGTTAAATCTGCCACCGGCCGCTGTAATGAACGGCTGTCCTCTTTAACCACACATTAGCTAGCAAATGCTGGCAGCCGAACGACACATCTCGCAATTACAGTTGCTCCCATGCAACGGGACGAGAGCGTGCCACTTTGACTCATTAGCTCCACATTACGGTGTACAGATATGGTGTCACATGACCCCGTCATGTGTATAGATGCTACAGCCTGAGAAGATGCGAGTTTAAGTGTTTCAAGAGGACTCGGTGTCAAACGTAATGGCCGAGTTTGTGTTCACGACTGTTCAAAACAGAAACAGCCGAGCTACAAAATGAGAGCAGCAACATTTATACGCACACCAGCCAACCAAATCACAAATGAGAAATCTATGTTATGTTATGACAAAATCCATGAAAAAGCCATTTCACAGCAGCAAGACTCCCTGAATCTTCCAGAAAACATCCGCCTGACAGGAAATCCATCAGACTTGGCAGCTAAGGATTTCCGTAACCTTTAGCATAAGAGACAAGAAACTAATATTTCAAACTTTACAAAATAGGTATTAACTAAAGAGGAACCGATCCTCGTCGTTTCTCACAAGCTTCCCATGAAAAAACACGTACAACAGGACCTGCACAGGAAAAGCGATGATGAGAAGAACCCAGTCCAGCTTTTAATCAGTGAATGGTCATGGAAGACACCAGACAGGCTTTGAGAACATTCAGAGAACATCCACCTACCTGGCAAGATTAAAGACGTCATCGATGAGGCCGGCTCTGTTCCCCACAGAGATTATCTGGTGGCAGAGGAAAGAAATGGCGTAAAACAAAGTCCCACATGGAAGTGGGCCAGGCGAGGGCAGGGGGTCTGAGGCTAACCCTACCTCAGGGTTCCTCATCAGCTGCTCCAGCAGCAGCTTCCAGTTCTGAAGGTCGTAGTTGACCCTGAAGTAGCCGGTCTGGTTGATGTTTCCCAGTAGCCAGGTGCCCTCTCCCAGCAGGCTGATTCTGTGCAGCTCTGGAAGGGAGAGACCTGTTCAGATGAACGACGCCACCTGGCACCACATCAGATGTTCCCTCACCGCCAATAACAGGTAGAACCCTGTCGCCTTTAGTAATTCACAATAAGTGCGATTGCTCAGGGCCGCCAAGGGTTGTGGTTGTTCACAAGTACCCATCGCTGCCATATAACCGCAATTCCTCGTATTTCTTTGCTTTGGGAAAGAGTTTCACTCACGTGTGTCAGTCATGGATGCACATTGTATCATTTTCTATCCAATGTATGCATACTGTACGCTCTTGGATACGCTCTTAGATACACTCATGGATACACTCTTGGATACGCTCATGGATACGCTCTTGGATACGCTCATGGATACGCTCTTTACCCGTAATTTGGAAAAATGCGTCAATGACTATTAAAGTTGCCACTAGGAAGTCCACAGTTACAAATATACCCCAGCAGCACATTTAAATTAAAGGTGTAAGGCTGGAAAAAAATATAATAATCCCTTAGAGAGCATGTCCCATTTCAAAATGCTGTAAATGGAACCATGAAATGTCACCGGCTCAGATCATTCTAATACATATACTCAGGTATACTTAAGTCAGCAGGAGGCTGGGCTGATTGGAGCTGAAAGCACTCATCTATTCAGAAGAAACACACCTAGCTAAGCAGTAAATCACTGCTTAAAGCCTTACAATGATTTTGTGCAGCAATTTTCTGTCCTTCCTTGCACATTTTTCTAGTTTTGGTTTTGACACTGTCATTTGGTAAATAAACACATGTAACAGATATAACGACAATCAGGTTTCTGATAGCACAATTTTTAAAAATCACACATGGTTTTTTTTTATGAGATTGAATAAAACTACATTTTCCATGATAGATTCGGATCCTATTCTCCAGGAACACAAAAAAAACAATTAAGGGAGGTGGGCACCTGTGGTCAAGGGTGACGCTCTACCAGGAATTGGTCTTAATTGAATCACGTGCACCTAGACATAAAATGCTACAGTTTGATTCATAGACTTATGGTCAGGAGCAAGAAAAGGAATCAGACTATATATTTCAAGGGCCACTGAAAAAGTAGATTTCACTTGTGAAAGCTGAAAGTTGATTTAAGTTGTCAAAGATCACTAGTTAGCCAGTTTTCAAGAGTGGCATCAACATAAGCCTTTTATTCCAGTCAAGAACACATATGTCTACTGTGAAGGCCATTTACTTATAGCCTTGGCATTTTTTTTTAAGATAACAAAAAGAGGCAATCATGCGTGTGATGAGTATCTTCTCCTACTCACCTGACCTGTCAGACACCCAAATGACTGACTCTGAGGATACATGAGTGGAGTTGCCCACAGAAAGGGTTAATGGGATCTGCCACTGGAAGCTGTGATGTAGGGGGAAAGGGGTGGGAGAGAGAAGAATTAAAAAATAGAAGTCAGTTCATATCAGCAGTTGGGATAATCAAAGAGACGATGCGCGACGGAACACCTAGAATCAAAGAACGCCAGGAGAGCATCCGCTTACGATCCGGAGGCTTCCGTACACATTCACAGCTATCGATTCCTTAGCCTTTGTTAGCTGAAAAAACGTTAATGGGATTCCTCCCTTTAGCCGACTGCGCCTCCCTCCCAGACGCACATCCAAGGAAGAGGTGATCCTGGCAGCAAGGAGGACCCGATAGCTCTGATGCTTGGCTGGCGCTGACAGCGATCACGGTCCCCCTGCCAGATCCAATGGGCGGCTCTCCTTGGCACACAGGTTGGCAAGCCCAGGCTAACCATGTCTTTGTCAGCTCAAACTGCATGAATGTGGAGCCTTGCTTACGAAAAATCATAAGCAATTCATAATAGTAATCAAATTCCACCGAAAAAAGCAGGGAGTAGACTATCAGTTAATGACAAGTTTGTAAGTAACAGTCAATCACCTCTGGCAGTTTTGGGTGCTTACCTGTATACGCCATGTATTACAGCACCTGTTTCTGCAGATAATTAATGTATGTGCATAAATAAGGACCATGGTGTACAAGAAATGCCAGACAGACAGGGTAAGGACACTGACCTTCAATTGTCCATCGCTAATGTTCATTCAGAGAGGAATGCCGTAGCTTTGCTCTGTCATTTCACCACGTGCACGTACACAAGCCAGTTAGTGTGAAACAGCGTCATTCCCATCCATAATGTATACCTGCTTCATATGCTTCATTTCAGAAACTGACGAAGGCCTGGTGCCAAAACATTCGTTACACCCATGGTCGGCCTACAGTAAAAGGGACCTCAACCATCTGAGTTCTTACCAAATCTTTATTAATTAGATTGTGTTGCACTGTCAGCAAATCATCCATCCAACCATTATTTTACCCGCTTGCCTCATGCAGGGTTACTGGGATCTGAAGCAGGGAATGTGCCAGTATGGGGCGCCAACCCATCACAGGGCACACACACGAACCATGGCTATTAACCATCTGAGAAGGTGTTTGAAGTCTTTCGGTAATACTTTTTACGAATGCCTTGTCTGTAGGTTAATAATCTATGAACACATTGAAAACACATTATAATGCATTCATAATGCACTATAAATATGGCTAAACATATTTATAAAAAGGCATACCACATGATAACCATGTTTATTATGCATTATAAATGCTTTATGAAGCTCTCATCTATGCTGTGCAATAGATGCCTTCATAGTGCAGTACACAGCAACCTTAATGCTTATGACAATTATAATACATTTTGAAGGTATCTATACAGCATTATAGATGACAGCTTTAAGTAAAGTATTACCACTTTTTTCCAGAAACTCTTTAGCATTCTCTGCAAATCGAAGTTCGGTATGCAGAAATACAAGCGTGTGACAAGAAGACGCTTTAGTCAGCCCTGAATTCCTCCTCCTTTCCCCCTTCAGCTTCTCCTGTAAGGGAAAATTGATCATCTCCTTTGGGTTCAGGTCTCTGCAGATGGGGAGACATGTGACTTCCACACCAGTTGTTTGCGCGTGTGAAAATGCTCTGCCCTTTGTGGCGGGGCATGGATGCCGATTTCTGTCATCGGCCTCTAAATAACGCCATCGATCTACAATCTTTGAGGAGACCCCCGGAAGCTGGGGGGATGTTGGGATCTACCTGCCTGTTATCGTCACGTGAACATGGACTCGGGTCATCAGAAGATGGAGGGATGTGTTGGATGTGTCGATGGAGGGATGTGTCGGATGTGTCGATGGAGGGATGTGTAGGGTTAGAGGTTACGGTGATTAAGTGAATGGCAAATTTCCCAGTTGCTGTGGTGCTTTTCTATGATAGATCACTATCTGCTTTAAACAGAGAGTGTCTGCTTTAAACAGCACTCTACTATCTAGTTTTTTATTCTCCTAGATTTGTATTTCTGCAGTAAATTAACTACATTAATCACAATACGGTCTAATACAATTTTCCTCTAGTTCGACGGAGTAAATGTCTGCATAAATCAGTTTAATTGGATCCAATTAAGTAAGAAAGGCACTTTTAATGTTAATCTCTGTCTTACTCACATCTCCTTCCCTGAAGTCAATGCTAATATATAATAAATGTTCTAGCATATTTAGTGCTCGATTTGTGGCTTTTGACTCTCGAGACATTTCCCCACCATTTCACCATTAGTGAAGCAGCCTTCTAACTTGTTTAAAACCATTAAAGTGATTTCATAATGCTGAAAAAGTGTCGTAGATATACTGAGGACACCAGCAATGGTGCAGACGTCCTGGTTTTGCGGAGTGACTGAACCCAATCTGCTAGCATCCACACCATTCCTAGCAGAGCGCCGTGCAGCTGCCCTGGTCTGAGCTCTTACAGAACCACGCTGACGATAGCAGGCTCACACAGCTGCCCTGGTCTGAGCTCTTACAGAACCACGCTGACGATAGCAGGCTCACACAGCTGCCCTGGTCTGAGCTCTTACAGAACC